ATTTAAGAGTTTCCAACAAAAAAATCAATTTTTTATATGGGACACTCTGTATATTTTTAATTTATTGAAAAGAACTTAAAATATAGCATACATGATATTTTGCTCGAGTTCTCTTCGAAATAGAGAATTTTTAAAAGTTCGCCCACTTGGAATAAGTAGGCTTTGGACGGTGCTACCATATAATGCAAAAAAACAAATGCTTACCGGTAGCTGTAAGCAGTAATTAAAAAAACAAATACTTACAAAAAAATATGGTCAATTTTATAACAAATTAAACTATATTTAACAACAAAAACACATTTAAACTAAGAACAATAATAAGAAATAACAAACCAGAATAAGAAATTTTCCTACAAGAGGTGTTCGAAATGACGACCGTCTTCTCTGATGCACAGACGGCATCGTTTCTGGATATTTCTGGCGGAATTCATTAACACAATAGGGTTGAGAGATGCAAACGCCCGCATAACCGCTAATTCTAATTCTTGTCGGGTGTATACTGGTGATTTAAAAATAATATCCTTTAATTTTCCCCAAAGATAAAAATCCATGTGTGTTAAGTCCGGCGATCTCGCTGGCCAGTGGTTGGGACCTTAGTTAGCTATCCAATTATTCCTAAAGTTGACTGTTAAAAAATTGCTCATCATTTCAGCTTTGTGAGGCGGTGCCCCGTCTTGTTGAATAAATATGTCTCTAAGGTCCATTAGGGGAAGATCATCAATAAAGGGTTCTATTTGTTGCCTTAAAAATTGCAAATATCTCTGAGAGGTCAGAGTGCTATCATAAATCAACGGGCCAACCCACACACTAAATCCAAATCTTCCTTGATTTCTCCGCTCCACTACTGCATTAGGATTTTGTTGTGCCCAGGTATAGGAGTTATACCGATTAAAAATACCGGCACTGTTATATATACAGTGCCGGTATTTTTGCTTCGTCTATCCAAATAGATTTTAATGGAAAATCGAGTACTTGGTTACATTTTTCTAGGAACCACTGGCAAAAATTTATGCGGCGTTCAAAATCTCCGGGTCTAAGATAATGCACTTTTCTGGTCCTGTAAGCTTTAAATCTGTGTTTTTTAAAAGTTGTTTAAAACATTACTTCTTGTCGGTCCTGTTAGTGTCTTTAACTTTCGTGCTGACGTTTTGTGATTATTTTCAAGGGCTCCTAAAACCACGATTTCTTTATTTTTTATTAAACTGACCATTATTAATTAGGTTATACCGCAATCTATAGAAAATGTTCTTAAAAGGTTGCATTCTCTCTGGATATCTACATCTGCATTCTCCCCGGCTTGTATAGAACAAACTACCATAATCCATTTTTCGTAATTTGCAAATTTCATTTTAAATTTATTTAATAGATTAAACTTAAACTCAGTGTATTTATGCTAAAATCACAATTTGACAACTGTCAATATACCATTTGTTTTCTGTATTAATGCCGCGCCGCGCCTTCCAAAACCTACTACAAAGTGGAAAACTTTTAAATCTCTGTATTTCACTGGGGATTTGAGAAATATATCAAGTGTGCTTAATTTTTGGAAAGGTAATTTTAAGTTGTTTTCCGTAAATAGAAAATATACAGAGAGTCCCATATAAAAAATCGAATTTTTTGTTGATAATTAATAAATTATTAATTTAGCAAAAAGTATACTTAAACCATTAAATTCTACGTAAAAAGGTGCTTTGGAAATGTTTTCATAAATATAAAAAAATTTCCATAGTAAAAAAGTTAAGCGATTAACTCCGAAACAGTAACAAATATCGATGTGCAGTTTTCACCATTATGATTTTTATATCCTACAGAAAAGGGTGTTTCCCTTTAAGAGCGTCCAATTTGACCCACCCTGTACGGAGATTTATAATTTTACTTATAAACCCACCTATTAACAGTAGGTAAAAAAAGCAGCTCGATATCAAAATCTACACGTAAGCGTTGTTTACAGATACCTACATGTAATTAAAACAACTGAAGTGTTTTATTGCACGGAAACAAGATAGAATCGTGATCGTAGCACTTATTTCAAAATAGTAAAAACACCGCACACACCAACACTAGTTATTGTAAATATATTAAAAAAATGATTTCCTTTTTTTTGTTAGTCTAATGCAGGTAAAAACATTACTTGTTTCCATAGATTTAGTAAGAACAGATATCACATTGTGCATTTTAACCCGATCAAACAACCGGTGGTTGACTACGTACTGTAAAAACCAACTGAGATAGAGAAGGCGACATTGCCACATTTCAAATTTGCGCCTATCTACTTAGTTTCATTTGCAGAAAAGGTGACTGTAAAACCTTCACCGGATATCAATAAATCTCAATTTCTTAATTAAATTAATAGTTTATCTTTAAAGAAGCATGCGTAATAATATGTTATTAATCAGAGGATCTATGCGTTACTATTAAAGGACATGTTTACTGTTTAATGTGCTGAAACGTCTAGAACTATTGGCAACGTCGCTGCTAGTCTTCCAGAATGAAATGAGCCGTCCGTCCCACCACCCCTCGCGACGGCCCATGGTCCGTTATAGCGTACTACGTTTAACTTACGGTGTGTTTGAAGTCGGAATCAAGGCCGAAGTGAATTTTTCAGTGGTTTTCACTAGTTTTTGTTTTTGTTTAACGTACTTTTGAATCTGCGAATTTTCGATATGGTAGGACAGTGTCAAATGTGTGGAAAAATAAGCTCAAATTACCCGAATTTGTCTTTTCACAGGTAGGTATTGTTTCCGCCGTAATCGTACATAGGCGTCCCACAAGGGAACCTCTCAAAATTAAAATAATTTCTAATTATATTTGTTGAATTTTGATCTATTAAAACAAGAACGTAGTAGCCGGTAATTGAATTATAATTCGTCTCAATTACTACCTAACTGTTCTAGATCATAACAAATTTGAATATAAACGTTGCATTTGAAACTTTATTATATGCCAGAAAGTGACATTTTTTTTTAAATTGCGTCATATTTTGGTCATTATATACGATATTCTAAATGAATTTTGTTCAACAAATAAACAAAGGTGTTTACCCGACCTTTTTTATATTTTATTGCTTAATTATATCTTGTATCTGCCCCTTCGGTCTTGTTTAGACAAGTTTTTACCACAGTACAATACAAATACCTTTTCCTAGAGTTATTTGTACGGCGTGTTTACCTTTTTTTAGAATGGGACGAACCACGGTACAAAGAAAACAAGGTATGATCAATAGCGGCTCCAATTTCGTTAAGTTTGCGCATACCACCTGTGACGTCGTACGCCATACAAAAAAATATCCATATTGTTCAATTGCCGCTAATAAAAGAAAGACCTAAAATAGGGAAGAATTAGGACATAACCCCAAAAGTTATGTCAAATTATCGAGCTTGACATTTGAAAAATTATTTTCGCATTTATTGTGTCATCTGTTTGACAATTTGAAATTGGCGCGCGAAGCTTGCCGACCAATGGTGCCGTTTATCACCTGTGACGTAGTGACCAACCTGCGCAATATCATACCTTGTATTCTTTGTATCATGGGGACGAACTATAAATAATTCTTAGGCTACTAGTTTTATACATACCTATATACAGAGTGACCCAGGCCTCCAAAAAAGCTTTTTACCTATTACGGTTTTTGGTTTGTGATTTTTATTTCAATCTTTACATAAGATCGGGGCCATTATAACGCACATTTTCAAAATATTTTTGTCAACATACAGGGTGATTCAAACCGCAATACATATGCTTAATACAGTTCATGAAGATTGGGACGTTTAACTAAAATTTGATTGTCTGATTAAGCTACCTAAGTAACGGATTTGTAAATAAACGTAATATTCATTATTATGCGACAGAAATCCCATACTGTAGCACACAGATTTGATGCTTTTAATGATAAATGCCCTCTATTCAGAGACTAAAAGGGTTAAAATAAATATTGATTTTAGGTATAGGAAGTCATTAATAATACAAGAATAATACAACTATTACACAGTACTTCACAGGAAGCTATCGATTGCGAACTAACTAAATCGTTACTAATTACTAATTTTGAAAAGTTCTTTTTAAGATCAAAAAAGGTAAAACTAAAACCTAAACTATCATTTGAGATTAAACGGGAAATTCTAAATAATGTTGCCTATTCTAAACAAGAAAAATTTATTTATAAGTTTTATAACATCTCTAATTAAATTTGGACGAAAAGCATATTTCTGTTTGCTGTAGGTAATTTTCTCATAGATTAAACGGGAAGTTCTAAGTTCTCTTCTTCTCTCAGGGAAAATACGTAAATAAAAATTACTTTTTAAGTCAAAAAAAGTCAAAAGGACAAGTTATTCCAAAAAAGGACTGTCCTTTTCAAAAAAGGACAGGTGGCAACCCTAGGTATTTCTGGAATGGAAATTTAATGGCAAATCTACAACTTTAGTTTGAAAATATGTCCCGGCCACCTATGATTACAAAAATGTCTAAAACGTGCTTTACCATTGCCTCCATATTCTAAAAAAAATTGAAAGAAAAGTCACTAACCACAAACCTAATATAGAATTGTTTCGGAAGCCTGAGTCACCCTGTAAGTATTCAAAAGTAACTGAGTGTTTATATAGAAGTAACTGAAAGTTTAAATTGAATATCGACGTTGGAGCGATTTTCGGAAACTACCTCCGTAACGTTTCAACATAAGTATATGTGGGATATTAATTATATTATTATATTAGACCTTATAACAAAACTCATCTAACGAAAAAGTGTTAATGTAGTATATTAGTATGGAGTAAAAATTTTACTAATTACTTTACTTTTACTTTATTAATTAAATTCGTTCCAAAAGACGATACGCCACTGGCCATTAGAACAATCCAAATGCGCCTAGTTGCCGGGGTTGGAAATTTTAGACTTCTCTGTCTCTTCTGTCCTTGTTTGACACATTGGAATGTTTGATACACTACCAACGAGTACTTATGAATGAGATGTTCGGTCTATCTTTATAATGTCTTTGCTTGTTTCAGATGCAGTTTAGACTATGGCAAAGTGGCTGAAAGCCTGGCGTCATCTATATATAATCCCAGTGTTGTTATATATAATTCCACATATTGCAGGTAAGCATTAAACTGTTTGGTGAACGTGTACAGGGTGTCCCATTTTTGTACGGTTTGCAGGGTTTCTTGTTTATGAGTGGAGATGCCGTTCTGAGAGCGGAGATGCTACAAAAATGCGGTTTTCACATCACTGCGCTACTTTTTTTTATGAAACTAAAGATGCCACACACGGATTGCCCTCTTACTTCCTGAAATACAGTGCGAGTTGAAAATGTTGCATTTTCAGACCCCCTTTGTATCTTGGTTACCTCATAACTTATCGAAAAGGTGAAAACTGAGTCCCATAGAGTATTTTATACAGAAACCAGTGGGTGGCTTAACTATTTTTTCTCTGGGAGCTGTCATTTTCGAAATATGACTTAAACTTAGGGTTTCCATGTGTCCGGATTTTTAAAGTGTCCGGGGCGGTCCGGCCCAGATTTGAAAAAGCGTCCTGGAAACCTGACCGCAAAAACAATTTAACTTAGTAAAATATTTTACCAGTTACAGTTTAATTATTTTTTCAGTTACTTTGTTGTATATTTTAGTCTCTACGATGCTAGAGCTCTACATAACCGACCCATGTTCCAAAGCACCCATTTCTATACTTTGGCGCTCAAATTTTTCGCTTTTGCTGCACTCCTGGAAAGTGAATGCTTTTTTGGTTTATATTTTGTTGATTCGGGGGCTATTATTTGCGTCCTATAAAAGTTCTTAAATAAATTTTATTTATAGTTTTTTATAAATTTTTTTACGACGTCAGGATTTTGTCCGGATTTCAGAATTCATTTGTCCGGATTTTGCCCGCATCTTTTCTTTTAGGGGCGAGCCACTTTTGAGACGCACCTTGTAAGTCGGATCAATGGCCATATGTCTAGAAAATATATACAGGGTGGAGCCTCTCATACGCCGCGGAGGCTCCAAGGCGGGCGACAGTTTGTATTGAAATGAAATTTTGTGAGCATATGTCGGTTAATTCAGAGCACTTTTTAAAAATATAGATAGTTCTACAGGGTGTCCCCAGAAAAAGTTACAGCTTTACTACTATTGTGTTTTTTGTAATGGAACACTCTATATATTAATTGATTTTCGGATTCTGGGAGAAAAATAAAGGTGAGTTTTATAAGAGAAGTGTATGACTAAAATGTAAGGTTTTTGACATATTTAACATTTTCTAGAAATAAAGAACAGTTTTTAAATTACAATAAAAGCTACCGAAATTGGAATTTACCCAGTATAGCCTAATACGTAGTTAAATTAACTATTGTACTTTAAATCAAATTAAAACTTCAACCAAAATACAGGGTGAGACAAAATTAATATTGAACATTGGTCACCTTTAAAAGCATGTTACTCTTTTATTTTAAATAGAACACCCAGTATATTATTCCGATATTCAATGGAGAATTCATGTCTGTTCAAACTACTATTAAAGTTGCCTACCCCTCAAACAAAGATTTTCGTTGATATTTTCATTTACATGATTTGATCTGAGTAGATCTTTATTATTTGATAAAATCTAGGTGGCTGTGATATGGGCCTGACGTTACTTCAACATAGCTGTTTAATTAGTCCAACTTTAACAACTAGTTATCACTTTGTGTCAATTAAAACAAAAAAAAATCTCGAGAGAATTGATATTCTTCTGTTAGTTGGAGAACTGTTGGAGAACTTCTGTTAGTTTTAAACGTGTATCTTTTTATTACCGTTGGGTATTTACTCTACAATATTTTTTTTAATTAACAAAAGGTATATCACAGCCACCCCTAGATTTTTTCAAATAATAAAGATCTACTGACACAAAATCATAAAAATTAAAATATCTAGGAAAATCTTTGTCTGGCAGCCTTAATAATATTTTGAAGATATATAAATTCACAATTAAACACCGGAATAATATACCGGGTGTTCCGTTTAAAATAAAGGAGTAACATGCTTTTAAAAGTGACTAATGTTCCATATTAATTTTGTCTCACCCTGTATAACTTTTCGGGTCAAATTTTAATTTGGTTTAACATACAATGGTTACTGTAATTAAATATCAGGCTATACAAGGTCAACTAAAATTTAGGTAGCTGTTATCGAAATTTATAATTTACTCCTCATTTTCACAAAATGTGAGGTACAAATCAAAATCCTTAGATTTTGGGTATATGCTTCTTTAATAAAACTCACCTTTATTTTTCTCCTAGAATCCGAAAATCAATTAATATATAGGGTGTTCTATTAAAAAAAACAACTTTGATATGTAACTTTTTTGGGGACACCCTGTAGAACTCTCTATATTTTTAAAAAGTGCTCTGAATTAACCTACATATGCCCACAAAATTTAATTTCAATACAAACTGTCGTTCTCCTTAAACCCTCCGCGGCGTATGAGAGGCGCCACCCTGTATATTATATTTTATAAAACTGTATCTCTATTTTAAGCTCTTAGTGGTTCCGGAATTTACTGTTTGGTAAATATTACTTTTTATGGCCAAGTAGAGCATACCCGACTGAAATTCAAATAAACCGCTATGGTACTATACAATCTCAAGAACCATTATGGAAATGATTGATTTTTCATTATCTACGAAAGCATGAACATCTGTAATATTTAATTAGTTGCAAATAGTAAATTAGGAACCGATTGGATTATTACGCTTTTCTAGTGAAAAAGAAATTGTCGAACCGAACGAATGGAAATGTATAACGGTGTAATATACGTGGGAATACTAAACTGAAATAATCTCACTGATCTATCTCTTAAATACATTTTACTTGTAAGTTAAATACTACTGCAAATTTCAAGTAGAAAAAACATTAATATTTTAAATAGAAAAATATTACCCTTGTTTATATACAGGGTGCTACAAATTCGAGATACGAGCTTTTGTATCTCGGTAACCGTAATAGATACGAACATGATTAAATTGGGGCAAAGTTACGCTTTAGGATGTTCACCAAGATGCAATCAAAAAAGTTTTAAAAATTTCTAGGATTGCTGAGTTTTTTGAAAAAAAAAAACGAATTTTTTTGAAAATCGATTTTATTTTTTCCTGTCGTTACTTTTTAGAAAATCAACAAACTAATTGCGCATTCTAATAGCCACTTTATTAGGGCTATCTGATAGTATTTTTAGCCGACCATACCCAAGGACTGTATATATTCTAAAGGACTGTTCGACCGCGTAAAATCGCTGCTGTCGTAGTCGCCGTGGATGCTTACTAGCGATGGGAACTATCGAATGAATTAGACTATCGAATGGTTACTGAATGAATGATTTCAACTATCGAATGGTTTTATTCGAATAAAATCATTCATTCATTTGTATACTAAAGCATATGTGACAACCTCGGCGTGCGACTAAATGGTTATCGTTGAGCCACGACTATCGAATGCTTTTGATAATTGAAATTTAGTATTCGTTTGATTTTTGTGTGCGTCAGTGCATTATTAGTTCTTCCAAATTTTTATAACTACACCGTATAAATGGTGTGCTATTTTTGCGTTTATTAAAATATTTAAAATACTAAAATAGTAGTTTTTTTAATTGACGATTGTGTGCCTGTGGAGGTGGTCAAAATTTTTCCGAAAATTTGTGTGATTTCCCGTAGTCTTTCAATGATTTAATTTTATATGGTATATGGTCTATTTTTTATTGGGAAATTTTGAGAAGTAGCAATTTTTAAGAGATGAGATGAACTTACAATTAATTTTAAAAATACATATTTGTATTTTAGATGTTTTAATTTTTAATAATATGATTAATTAGTTGAACTTAATAATCATATTTAAGTAATGTGGTTAAGTAAATGATTATATCGAACTCAAACTATGGGGTGAGAAAATTAAATTGAAAGTTTTATACGTGCCAATTAAAAAAAAAGTTAACGATGTTTGTATTTTGTTTATGCTAATTCTCTTACATGTAGTTTTTTGCGAAGAAATATTTCATTTATTTTTTCAAGTAAATGCCAGTAAAAATATTATTTTTAAATAGTAATATAAAGCACCTAATATAAATAATTTTGATTTCTAATTTTTTATTTATATTTTCCTTTCATTACACTGCATGCTTAGAAAATTAATAAATGTTGATATTTCATGATTTTAAAATTTGTTGTTAATATAACAAATTAGTTCTGTAATTATTATTATTTAATAAACCAACGTTGCCACACAAAAAATTTAGAGACTATATTATTTTTAAATAGGATCTAATATAAATAATTTTGACATCTAATTTGTTGTTTATATTTTGCTACTACTTAAAAAATGTTTATATTAAATGATTTTTTAAATTTTGTTGTTAATAGGTATAACAAATTATTACTGTTATTATTATTTATTAAACCAGTCTTTGCTTAAAAACATTAAAAATCATTTTCCTACATCCAAAATAACAAGTATTATTGCAGTGTAACAACAGAATATTAATAAAAAAATGCAAAATATATAGACATACTATCCCTAACTAACTAAAGCCAAACAATAATATTCTTTGCTAATATCAACTAATACCAATATATGGCAACAGCGCCCTTCATAATATGTTTTCTGTGTAAATACTAGCACCTCAAAAAAAATAATGTGTCCTTATCTTTATCTGACTCCACAAAAAATCAAAGATGTCGCCTTTTTTCATAGCATTGCCAACATTGGCACCGACCGCTGTCGGGTTTCTCGGAAAGAAACCTACGTCGCCGGGCGACACCTAAAATCCAGTTAATATTTTATTATAATCGATCCTGACCAATAAATGAATTTCATAAATGAATGAATTTTATAAATGAATGGTTTTTGCTGCCGAATTACTAGAATACAATATTTCAAGGCAGATGACGCATCTATTCGATAATTTTTATTCGAATGTTTTCAACGAATGTTTTCTTACTAGCTATCGAATTATTCGAATGAATTGCAACTATCGAATGTTTCGATAGTATTCATTCGATAGTTCCCACTACTAATGCTTACGTCAAGCAGGGACCAGCGTTCCACAGTGCGGCGGATGGTTATTCTAGCGGGACAAAATC